ACCCCTATCAGTATGGGCATGCTTCAAGATTTTGATATGATCTAAACCGCTCGAGACTATTGCTAAGTTTGTACAAAATAAACGAAATATAATACCGTCACTGTCAAAGTAAGAAGATCGTCAACGAAATCTTAATAATTTTCGGTCGTCATCCCATAGAAAAAAATATAGATGACCGTCAATGTAAACATGAAAAAAATTCTGACCGTCTTACGAAAGATCCAGAAGGCGCCTCACATTCGCCCCTGCGGTTTTATCAGTTTCAACATTCGTTTCAAACATCGCGCTTTTTGCGCATGCGAAGTCATTTGAATCCTATGCTGGTCCCATAGATTTATCTTTGACTGTAACTTTTATGCAGCCTTGAAGTAATTGATTCTATGAATGGTATGGGTGTTTTTGACGATAAAGGACTCTATGGGTATTTAGGGACATTCGTTTTCAATACATTAACCTTTATATATATATATATATATATATATATATATATATATATATATATATATATATATATTTACGTTAGACTAGAATGGCACTGTAAGATCGTTTTATGTGGTTTTAAAGTTTTTGTACCCGGTTTTTAAATCATGTAGCGATTTTACGACGATCGTTTTCTAACCAATCAAGGTGACAGCCGAGCGTGAGTTTATGCATGCCTGTACCTTCTGTTAATGACTGTTAAACATAATTTTCATTGGTGCCCCAACATAAACCTGTGAGGTGAGTGTTAAGTGTCAGAGGACATCGAATTTAGCAACCTGGAGGTGACAAATGTAAGTAAGGGTCTTCTACATTTACAAGTTACCAAGGCAATTGAAACGAGAAAATGAAACTAGAAACACTTTGGAATATTAGTAATATTTATGAAATAGAAGAATAAGAATCTACTGGTTCAGTACTATCAGATTTAAAAAAAGTTACCAGACTCAATGCCCAAACCCCAGTTTGGTGACTATTTACAGGTATGCACTGGCAGTTGCAAGATTTTTGCAGGGTAAGGGATCGACGAAGGGTACAAAATTGTAGTATAGGGCTAATTTGTATGTCGCAACATGGTAGACTTTTTATAAAATTCTTAGGTAAATATTTTATATTTAGCTTCAGCATATGGTGATGAAAGTGTGCACATTGTCGGGATCGACTGAGGTAATTACATAATTGTACGTAATTGAAACTATGTCGGTGAACTGGCACCGAATCCTTCTGAAATGGAAGCGATAATAGATCATCCATGTATAAAAGACACATCGTGGTGTTTCTTGGAGTCGATTGTTTAATAAAGCAGCGTCTTAAAAGCAATGTCGCTAATATTCCCTGATGGTCTCCCCTCCTCCACAAGCACCTTAAAACGGATTAAATATCGACTCCAAGTTTTAATTGCTTCTTTTATTTGAAGGGATAGTGCTTGCTCCTGTTGATGAGCTGTGAACGTAATTTTTTGCAGTACTGTGTCCAACTGGGTTTGTGGCGTACTTTTATTTCTAGACGGGCCCCTCTGATCCCCATGGCCTCCTCTACCCTAACGTTTTGCGTTTGTTTGTTGTTCCTGAGTACTTTCCCCGCCACTTTTAATTTGCCTGAATATCTCTCTCCACGGGTTTTCTTGTGAACCTAACGGTCTGTACCTATAGCTCGAGCTCGTTCAGTCCTTCTCTGTGTGGACCGAAAAAATTTTAATGGTAGTGACTCAATTACAACAAGCGGGTGTTGCTACAGGTTATGGCGCACGACCTTCAAGGGCAGGACCGAACACAAGAGTATAAGACACGGTTAGTGGAGTCACCTGGCCCCGTATTTCTAAAGCATCGCGTATTGCGAATCGCTATATCAAAAAGAGGCTACAATGTATTATATGGGACGAGTATGGGTGAGTTATGGAATCGAGACGCTTGTGCACGGTCGCAATGCGCAATGCTTTTGAGATTCGGGCCCTGCTGTGACAGGAATATGCCATAAGAATTAAGGGCATATAAAGATGCAATAGATGTAGTAAACGAACTAATACATGGCGTACCGGGGGTATCGTTAGGATAGTGACAAGAAACTCGAGAGGTGCACACTCAGGAAGGCGATTAAAAGGTTTCTAACTAGGAGGTACGAAGCAGCCAGCATTCGAAACACGTACGAGGTCTAATGGGAGATTTAGGGAAAGAGCTAACAGAGCGTTCACCTTTCAGAGACAGAGGGAAACAGAGCGTTTTGTGGTTAGGGTGAACGTGTGTGTGCTGGTAAAAAGAAATTTAGCAGAGGAGTTAATGGTTAGGGGCTGGCCCACAACGCTCGAGCCCATTACTTTGACTGAACAAGAAAACCCAGGGAGGGAGATATTCAGGCAAATTAAAAGTGGCGGGGAAAGCATTTGGGAGTAACAAACGGACGTTATATAGTAGGCTTGTTAAAGGGTCAAACGCTGCATTTTACAGTACAAATGTCTAACTCGGCATGAATGTTCCTTGGGCCAAAACAGTTTTTTTATCCAAAGAGACACGCCTTATAAACACAGTTGGATACAATACTGCAAAAAACTATATACGCTCACAGCTCATTAACAGGAGCAAGCGCTATCCCTTCAAATAAAAAAAAAGCAATTAAACCTTGGAGTCGAGATTTAATCCGTTTAATGGTGCTTGTGAAAGCGGGGAGACCATCAGGGAATTAGCGACATCGCTTTTAAGTGGGATCGATCATATTTAGTTGGCGGATCAGTTAGTCCGCGGATCATCTGTTCTGAATGTTCTCATTGATTACGGGATTCCAACCGCTTAGAAAGCGTAAAGCAGTAACCCCTGTCGTTCGGAAACGGCGAAATCGACAGTTTAAGTGCTGAGTACGCAGATGTTTATACTCTGGACACCCACTAGAAACATGACATCACGCCAATTGTTATAGACACTGGTGTCGCGCCCCTGGTACAACCTCGGGCCTATCGAGCGCCTTAAGGAAAAATAAAATTGGTCGACAAAGAGATGTAAACTACCTCTATGTGGGGAGTAGACGACCTAGTCTCATCCCCAGAAATGCACTGCATGACGTCACGCCTAGTCCACTGCGCATGAGTGCATTTTTAATGAGTTGCTAGACTGCCATAGGAAAATGAATGGGTTCGCGATTCGTGGGTAATTCGTGAGAATTGACAAACTAACGGCCTGATGCCGATAGACAGCAACGCTGTGCTATGCTTCAAGCAACTCCTGACCAAATATTGTTAGGTTTTTTTTTTTAAATTCTGTTGTACACACGTACTAAGAAGTTTGCCGTATATTGCCTAGACTAACCTCAGCAAAACGCAAATATTTTCAGTAATAGTGATTTTAGACGGTAAATTCACTCAGAAACAAAGGGAAATTAAATCGTTGCCGATAGCACCAGCTGATAGCAGTAACATACAGAGTCTGATTAAAAAATTTCATGGCAATTGAAGATTTTTTACCACTGTACAATGGAGTCCAAAAAGAGCACTTGGCACAAATGTAAAACTGCCCAGTGCAAGGCCAAGAATTCAATCAGTATTTTCAATCATATTATCAGATTCTACATAAATTGACTGACCATATCACTACTCAGTATTTAACTAATCTCTTAATCCAAAATTCCTATAATCATTTAATAATTATGCAAAATTCTTCTTTCAGATTGCTATTTATTTAAATTTTTAATGCTGCAACTGTTCCAAAATAATCTTGTAGTAAAGGAAAAATGCAAATAAGAAGTGGAAGACCAATTTTACCCACAGTATTCAATTATTTGAATATAAAAAGAATAAGATCACGATTTAACAAATGAAAATAATCTTTCATGAACTCTTTCATGAATAACATATTAAACAAAAATGAAAGTATAAATCAGTGGTAATGGCTTATTCTGGAATATATGACCTCTGTACATCATCAGTACCTGACTTGGTACAGTATAGTTACTACTTGGATACAGGGTTAGATTTAATAATGTAACAATAAGAACAATATATATTATAATAATAAACTTCTCTGCACATATCAGACGCTTGTTACCATGAACTAACACTACTTGACAATGGGCTGAGCACTTATCACAGAGTCTGTGTGCGATGCCATTCTTGTGCTGTGATTGGTTAGTTGAAGCCCTACTGTTGCGCCCTCGCGTATCGCGTAAATGCTGCACATTTCTGGCCATGTTACAGATAACAAACCGCTGAAAGCTTTGTTTACTGCTAAATTACAAGACGTCAGACTTCAATGATTGGCCGCGGTGATTTCAGAATACAACCCAAATTTGAATACATCAAGGCCCTTACGAAAATTTCCTATAGGATCCTANTAATTAAGATACGAAATGTCGATCACTTCTTTAGAATTAAAAGATACAAACAAAAGTTTGCGACGACTTTGGGAAGCGGGATTATGATCGAAAAAATACACTGCTTGATTTTGTTTTACTACAGAAAAGGGTCTACGTACCGTTTGCTCCGCCCGCGCCGACATTGGTGAAAATTAACTGGTAGGGTTTGTTGTAATCCAGGGTAAGAATATTGGTGCACCGACAGCCCTGAAGGCTAGTGGCAGACCGACAGGAGGCTGGACAGGGTGTTACTGAATTAGGCAAGAGATCTCTCTGCGAAAGAGGCGGGGAGGATGGAGGTTCAAATGCAATGCCACTTATGCTCGGACCTGCACGCAGGAACGCCGTGTTGAACCAGAAATTGTTAGACGCTGGTAGTGCCGTCAGTCCAGGGACAGGGACATCTTCGACTTTCCTTATGAGCTGATCAACATGAATGCACTGGGCGTTGTAAGTAGGAGGTAAAAAAGCATAAGGGCAATTAACAATTCTGCATTTGTAGGTCGGGTGGGTTTTACATGGACGTGGGACATCAAGCACGCCTGTAGGCGGTTCTACATACGATTCCGATTCTCGTCCATATATCAGCAATGCTTTAACCTCTTGAAATGGTTGATCGGTTGCATAGCCAGCATCGCTGAGATCGGGTGACGCGCGGATGTAATAGGCCTTTCTTCTCAGCGGATTGTTAGCTGTGATTACGACATCATACCGTTCTCCCGGGGTAACCAAAACACTTTCAACGTTGTGGATGGGTTCAATGTCAAATCCATCTGTGGCTATCACTGTCACCAAATGGGCGTCGACAGAGACCCTCAATGGAAACGCCTACGATACGGAATCTGTACCGGTTATCAGGGGCAGTAGGATCCACGTAGAACCTGGCGTAAGGAACGTTATTTTCTACAGGCCTGTCTTGGTGCCAAAGGCGGTTTTCAAAGCGTCCCCTACCGTTAATAAGGGCCGAAACGTAAGGAACTGCAACAGCAGCAACGCCATCTGGACCTAAACTGAAATTATGTCGATCGCTTGGTTCCGGAAAAATTGGATTGTTTGGCCAAAACCATCCGTTACCAAAATGTTGCAAGAAAAGATTGTCAAACTCCTCGTGTTGCCAGTCCTGTAGAATAATTACGTGTTGGTCGTTATTTGAAACCTCGCCGATAGATGGAGCATGCTTGGCGCCATACTTCTCACCATGAGGTCTGCTGTCCTCGTGGATGATAAGGGCACCCAAAACGCCGTCTGATCGTGAACCGGGAGTGTGACTGTGGTACCAAAATGTTCCTGTAACAGAGAAGATGCCCTGATATAAATGAAAATGTGGTTCACACAAATGCAAACCACCAAATTTTAAGGTTATTTCATTCACGCAAGAGGCATTTTAATATTATAAATATTAAAATAGCTGGTATTCCATTAATAAGAGCAAAGAGCGAAAGGCCTTTATTGATCAGTTTCAATATTCAAATTCAGTATCAGTCTTTCTGTATTATTTATCGTTGCAGTGGTTGTCATGAAGGACGTATTAAACTAACCTGCCGGGTCTGCCTTGAACCTGTAGGTAAATGTTTGGCCACTATGTATGGGACATTGAGTGATCATGGGAACGCCGTCCATGAAAGGGGTGTTGCGCTGGAACTGTCCATGCCAATGAATGGTCAACGATTCGTGGATCATGTTGTTGGTCACATGGATAACCATTTGTGCCCCCAGTTTTCCCTGGGATAGGTAAGAAAAATGAAGAATGAAATTAAGGTGTATTGATCTGAATTTTATGTATTAAAAGATTATTAATTTAAACCACCCCTCCGTGTCCTGAAGGGTGGTTTGAACGCGCAGGTCAGCTGACCTGAATTTAACCCTCGAACAAACCAGACTAGTAGTAGTTTAAATCTGTTTGAATGGAATGTTGATTGTTCTTTTACATGTCTCTTCTCGTAACTTGTACATCACTGTGGTATATATGAATTCACGACCAAAGGGAACTAAATGTCGAAATAGTAAGTTACTTTCACTACTTATATTATTTATAAAATAAAATATAATTTATTCATGGATGGGGGCTCGGTAAGTAAATCTGTAAGACGTTTTGTGCTCACGCGTATTATTGGACCAACGAGCTTCCCGTTTACAGTCGAGATTCTACGGTAAACTCCGTCACCTGTATTGACATCATCTAGAAAGAAACGTGGTATATATTAATAGTTAAACCACGGCTAGCGCGTAGAACAAAAGACTCGGCCGTGCTGTATGCGACATACAAGCACGTCATGTAGTAGCCAATCAGAGGCCGTGGTTTAAGCCAGATACAACACTCGTCGCCGAGCTGTACGTGAAAATTACTCGTGTATTGGCGAGCCGCAGGCGAGACAATACACTCGTAATATTTCACGTACAGCTCGGCGACTCGTATTGTATCTATCACAAATAGCATGCAATGCTATAGGAAATGTTGAGTTGGAATCCTGCCAATAGTTTTTGGCACACCTAACAGTTACACATTCAATAATCACAATAAGGGGTATTTATGCCTGTACTCTAACATATTTGTTCAAAATAAAAAATGATTACATTTCAAAGGGTGAAATTGCCAGTAAAAAACACTTGATTTTCTCCACTGCTGTCCCAAAGTACATTGACAGTTCAGCTATTCTGTAATACAACAAAACTTATTACAATGCACACTACATGAGGTATGATTTTTAATTAAGCCTGAAGAACAAAGCTTGCCCTAACATACCAAATGAAATCTGAGTCTTGTTGGGAACGCCGCCACAGTCGCCCCCTTCCGTAAGTTTACAAGCTACGCATCCGGTAGCAAGGGGGCGCCCATTCTGGTCGGTGCAATCCGGCATCACTCGGTCCCTGTCGTATACCATGGTGTAACCGCTTCCAATCACAAGGTAATATTCGCACACTAAAATTGAAATATACAATAGGCCTACAATGTATCTTAGTGACTTCATAAATTATGCAATCTTTGCACAATTCCTGAGTAAGATCCTGTTACCATAGCGTTCTTAGATCGATCTAGCAGGATCGACCCATTTCCCTGAGGATTCTCGTTAAACTGCACTCAAACGATAGTCATTTACCCCCTAACAGCTTCAGTGGGCGTGCCAGACATCAGAGCCACTTAAAGTCATAATAACTCTTCGTTTTGGCCAAAAATTAGATTTTCCTGGGGTAAACGGCAATTTTCCCGTACTTACCATTGGTCAACGACCCCATTCCTGCATTCAAAGTTAGTCCAGGGTTTTTTCCCTAAACGTTTTGTTAAAATCTCTTAAGAGATTTTAACTGACGGAGCCCTCTTTGACATTGCATAGTCATGCGATATCGAGCGATATTTTCTGGTGACCTACTTAAAACTGCGGGAAAAACAGACAACAACAACAACACTTTATATAACAATAACATAAGATTCATAAGACATATTCGTCTTATTGCTCAAAATGCATTTATATCTAAAATTGACTGTGTGCAATTCTTGGCTTTTCGTTATCCGACGCACTGTACAAAAACTCGCAACTTACGTCTGGGATTGAATCAACGCGTTTGGCGCCATATGTTATTTTGGTCTCGAATGAACGCGAGAATCCGCGTGACACCCAAACGTCATTGGCAACGGGTGCCTTGACGACCGTGAAGAAAGGCATCGAAAGCCCTATTGACAAGCACAGATTTTAGTTTTACTACAATAACAGCCGTTTTAGTGGTAAAATACAATAGAATATATTTCCATGCGTTGTTTACAATGTATTTCTTGCGGAATTTTGAATCTCGAAGGAAGAGTTATCATTGCTTTAAGCTGAATGTAATTTAGCGAGAATTACCCCCAGATCAATCTAGGAATGGAAATGGGGTCTTATAGTCTTTTTGACAAGAACACACAAATGCACTTTCAATCCACGAAAAAGTATAGAGAGGACAGCTGAAAAGTAATAAATTGTTCTAATCTCAGCAGAGGACCCATGGAGTTTCAGACATATGTCTGGTTCTGGTAATTAAAAACATTTGTTAATTGCATATAAAGCCCAGTGCAAAAATCATAGCCATAATCGTGTTTTATTTCTTCCCTAGGAAAGGACCCAACAACTCCATTGCCGTGAAATGCGTCACTGGCGCCATGTCTGGTTTTCTGATGAAACAAGATTTATACTTCGTGGTGTTGTGAGCAGACTCCATGCTTCTTCCCAATTCGGAAGAGAATATCTGAAGGCTGCGAGGTGGGAACTATTACCCATGGTGGTGGTTCTGTCCAAATTTGGGTTTCTATTCCCGGTGAAGCTCGAACTAATCAGGCGTTCTTTAAGCCAGCTACTGAAGTGTACATGCAAGAAATGGTGACATTTGCTAATCCTTACCAGTATTTTGGTCGTCCCTACAATATGACAGTGGTCCATCTCAACTTGATCGGGGTTATAATGAAGCACTGAGCTGGTTGTAGGATACATTTTATCTTAGTTTGAAGTAATTAAAATCTTAGATGTTATATTCTCTTGCAATATTCCATCTTTAGCAAGACTGCGCGCTGTAGTTCTGGCGTGACAGGAAAATGTTTGCAAAAACTAATACTAAAAGTACACGCAAACAGGTGGGGCAAAAGGACTATTAAAAACTCAACAGGCATTATACGTGTATATATAATGATTACATTAACCGCAAGTCTTATTAAAAGGAACAAGACCATAACATGTCTTCAGTGAAAAGAGGTACGGGAATATCTGTACCAGCTTGATTTACTTACTTATCCCGCCTCCAACGACTGTACAGTTACCCAGCGGATATGCCTTGTGGATCTGAATGGAAAAACACAGATATTTAAGCCCGCATGCATATTACACATTATCCATAAGATGCACAACTAAACATTGCAGTACATCTTGTATTTCTGTAACTTATTTAGCGGAAGTCACGTGACCGTGGAAAACACTGTATTGATCTTAATGAACACCTCCACATTTAAGGACCCGTTACCGTACTTTTTTGGAACATGTGTAACCATTTAGGGCTCTTTGCGTAATGTTAAAGGCATGGCAAGATTAAAATTTGAATTTAAATTTGGATTTTTGTTCTATACACATGTTTTAAAAAACTGAATACAACTTTGAATTCATTCAAGTTTATTTTTTTACACTCCAGCATGTGAAATGCACCTCTATATTGGGTTTGGGTGTACAATCTGATACCTTGTATGATGAATTTCTTCCTATGCATGCGAGCCTCTGTTAGAAAAAATTTACATTTTATTTCTTATTCTTTTTCCATGCTTTTCAATAGTCGTTACTTTATCAGGTACAACGCAAAGCCTCAAAATGTTTCTCACTTATCTGCATCGTTTTTGACGGCACATCAAAATCTTTACGTGGCACGCGAACAAAATTAATCCATTGTCTTCTCAATTTCTGTTTCTTTACCCGAAAGCAATGAAGCAAAACTTCGTCAATAGAGCTACTATTGCATCCCTGCGCCACACAATAGCGCCCTTTGCCTCTCTTCAACATGTTTCAGTTAAAACGATGAGAATTACGACTGCCTACAAGCTTCCAAACAATTCATATCATAAGCAGCATGGCGGTTTTAAACGAGTCTACCAAGTACATTACGTCCTTTCCGTTTCAGCGAGTTTTCTGCAGTTGCGTTCAGGCATAGAAGTAGAGGTTCTGGTGAGTTGTTTTGCATTATCGTCAATTACACCGCATCAGGCTATTGTTTGGGCCCGGGTTTTCCGGGAATTGAATATTAAAAAAGTACTCCGTCGGACTACATAAAAACGTATCCAATTCTACCTTTCTTTAACTACATGTATTCCGATTCACCACAATAAAAAACATATCAAAATCTGTAAATAAATGTTTGCGTTATGCTACTGGTAGACAGACAAACTAACTACAGAGTTACTAACAAACAGAAATATTACCTCCTTGGGCGGAGGTAATTCGATAAATTTTGCCTAAAAAGCGGACAAAACGTTTGATGCGTACTTACCAGTGAGAGTAAAGTGAAGAAAATCAAACAATTCTGCCTGACCCACTGCATGTTCAAGCACTGAAAGGCTCTCGTGCGGCGATCCCATCCACGCCAGGAGTAACTAGCTGTCTCTTTTATATAGACGTTAAAACGTGACCAGCAGCCCTAATAATCGTGTCAATTTTTTTTCACAGTTGCTCCTTCAGAGATAAAATAAACACACCTCTCTTTGTCTCTCTCTCTCTCTCTAAAAAAAAGGGAAACAACAAGAACAGGGCCTTTTGTCTTTAATAGGCAAGTTAGAGGTCCATTTAGCGACAAATTAAGCTTATCTTGAGGGGTCACTACATTTTGGTTCAAATAGGCCAAACCGTGCAATAAGTTGGCCAAAGCAGTGGATTATACTAATGATTTCACCTTTTAGAATATCTTCTATACTAAATATGAGAATATATATTAAAATCTATGACTATTTTATTTTTCTTTGGCCTTGACTCTTTGGTTAACATGCGTTAACGTTTGCATACTCTGTGCTACATGTGTGATATATTGGTGGATTTCCAGCTCACCATTTTCCATTAATTGCACGGTTTTTCTCGACAGATGAATCCATACTGTCGGTTAAGCAGATCGACCCGATCGACTAGTACTCTCTACCAGGGCGACAGATTGATTTTCCACAGATATTCATAGATATGTCTATAGATAAATAGACAGTCATTTTGGCTCTCAGTAATATCCACAATAATAATTGCGGCCCTGGTAGAGGGTAATCGACTAGCTACAAGTGACGCCACGCACGAAGTCCTTTCGAATCGCAATAGTAATTATATACTTTCTCAGTCTCTGCCTGTTTCAATTTTGCCATTGAGGTGTCTCATTAATGGGGTCATTTCACCTGCATATTTTATAGTTAGACAGGATACATTGCAATATAATAAAATCAGACAGTTAAGAGGTTTTTGTTAGTTCATCATATCATCTACGTGAGCTAACTAATACAGTGATAATAATTGTAGTACCGACATATTGAAAGGAAAATGACATTAAATGGCAATATGTCAGAAATATAAGATTGTGGTTAAAAGCACACGAGACGAATTTATCATGTCAGAATATATCGAGGTTTATGATGCCATTACATTTGACTTCCTTTATACATTTGTACTGCAGATAATGGACGAAGGGCACCTACAGCGAAAGATGGTATACATTTTCGATTAAGTTGACCGAAATAATAAAACAAGATCTGGAAACGCGTTGGTTTATCGTGTTTCCCATCAACGAATAAGATAAAGCTGACGTATATTAAGAAAAAAAGCATCGATAGAGCGCTTAAGCGTTGCTTTTCAGTCTGTTTGCGTGCATAAACATTTTAAGTTTATATGGTCAACACAAAGATCATCGGATTTATGATTACGGTGAACTGATTACTTTGCTGGGCACTCAAAAAGACAGATTTGATTTTCATGGGACACCAATCATAAAGGGTGTCCTGCTAAAGATTTTAAAAAATTATGCGAAACAAATTATTCCTGATTATAGGGCAACTCCATGGGAATTAGCCGCCAAATAGATTTCCCGAGAAAATAAGCAATTTTCTTTTACTCGTGAATCATTTATCTATCCATCAGATCTCTGCACTTGGATTCAACCTTTATTAAATAAATTTATAAAAGTTGATAAGTTTGAAATGTCTAGCCAGTCATTATATAGTACCATGTTAATTATAACCAGCGACCATCTTCTTAAGTTCCGATGGAAGTTTCAACATCAGGTACACTCCAGAAAATTATTTGAAGGTTGAAAACGCGTTCTTAGGTGTATGTAAGGTTTTATAAGAAGTTGTGGTTGGCAATTAGCATTTGGGGAATATTCAAGAAGTGTACCTTTAAATGCTATGTTTCTCCGACTCATCACTTGCAAAGTATGACTCTCCCTTACTGACACGCATCGTGGCTCTGAAACAAGCTTTTAAAAGCGCTTTTTTTTTCAATCTTCTTCGAAAGCTGACATAGATTAGAAAATACTTGCGAATATGACTCTTCTCAAATGATCAAAAAGTATCATTTGAGCTTAGAAAGTTCAACAAACATTGGTTGAACGCCTTGGCCCTTTAATCTGGCAATTTTTTAGAATGTTTATCCCCAACTCTTTTTGAGCTCAGTGAAAGGTTCCATGGCTTACTTGTCCTTTTGCTTCGCCTTAAAATGCAATCTTTAAACATAGGTATGATTTCATAGAAAAAAAAACTGTCGGGATAAATTCTACATTCAGCATAAACCATCTGTAGGACTATGCGGATATTCCACCTTGTAATTGTTATAACAGATGCATGCTAACAAGATTCCGTTACAAAGTACGCCCTGCGTTTGAAATAGATGTTTTATGCAAAACCTGCATCACAGTTTATGTTTTCTGCAGGCCCACTATGTCTGTCATAAAAAAATGTTGTATATTACATTGGGTTTTAATTGTAACGTACAATTAACAACCTCCATCATTTTTCGGATAGACACGGGTAGGCCCCTATCATATGAAAATACTGTCGCCGAAAGCAAGCCATCTTGGATTTTGCTTGTCAGGGAGTGACACTGTGTCGTTTGTTTTGGTCTAGAACCCACCAAATTCCTAGTTTTAATCTACTGGTGCAAATGGTTGAAAATATTCAATTATTACGACCTTCACCGACTTTAAATAGCACAACGTTTACTGAAGCCATGACCAGACTATGTATCCACAACGTACCGGTACATAGGCCTACATATTATTACAAGGTATAAGTACAAATACAAGCTCAAGAGCAGTGTAATAAGGACTGCTATATATACAGTTTGTCGTCAAGAAATACTAATAGTTCAACGATGGAAAGAAAAATGGCTTCAGAGAGAGAGAGAGCACAGACAGTTGACGCGCCTAATAAGTCAAAATCATAATCATATGCCAGGCAGTGATCGAGTAATTTTTTTTTCAAAATAAGTTAGCCTGCTTTCCAAGTGAATAGCTTATATTCAGGAGATATATTTGCCTCCCCCCCCCCCCCCCCCCCACCTCCCCTCACCTGCTGCACGGCCTAAAGAACAGGTGGGCCTAAATGTATGGATCAGGGAGGATACGGGACTGCCATCGGTCTTCTTGGTGCGGATGACTTCCAGTACTTTCCTGTAGTATTCTCTTGTAAATCACCTTACCTATTTGTGATAGTGGTTACTTCAAAGTTATTAACACATTTTTAAGAGCGAGGCCCTTGAAGTTTGACCCTTTACTATATTTTAATATGAAAATGAAAACAAGTTTCTAGTGTGGAGACAAGCATTTCTTTACAACATACATGTAATACAGGCCCGTAGCCAGGGGGGTTCGGGTGGTTCGAAAGAACCCCCCTTTTTGCTGGAAAAAGGTCCACTCTGGGTAAAATTTGACCTAGGTACTGTACATGGGGATTATATGGTAAAAGGTCCACTTTTTCAGAAAAAGAACCCCCCCCCCCCTTTGAAATTGCTGGCTACGGGCCTGTAATATTTTAACTATTAGTATTTATTTGCCTTAGTTCTATGCCAAATACACCACTGAATGGATTGATCAAATCTGATAGACGGCAAACATCGAAACATTGGACAAGAAAAGGAACTACACATGCACATGCAACACCTCACGGTTATCGCATAATCTTTCTACAAGCACTTAATGTAACGATAGCAGCCATTGGAGTGCTCATTGTACCACAAGCCAATCAAAAGCAGTCTTTCAGTAGGCTTTCAGAATCCCCATTTCCGGGCAGACTGCAGTCGATCACGTTCTTTCTATTATTTCGTCAATATTGGTCGAATGTTTACAAATTGATTAGCTCAAAATGTTCAGTCCGAGTATTCTACCACAACAGGTAAGTTAAAGACAACCAATAACAACCATGTACTATAATGTGCATCTGAATTCTCACATAATCATCTGGGCTATGCCTATGAAATTTACGTAATTTCTTTTCACTGGGCCTGGTAATGCTGTCTGCAGACTCAATAAGTCAGCAGAAAGTCAAGTGCCCAGATAGCTTTTAAGACTAATGCTACCAGCACTGATCTGTTGGGTGGCAATGTACTCCATGGGTACCCTGGTTATGCACTAACGTTACTATTACTAATGCTAACTAGTTGGAGCAAGTGTGATGCCCAAGTGTAAAGTCGATGACACATGCTATGCTAAGTGTGTAAGACTCTTAACTTAAGTAGGGTCCACACATTTTTTAATAAGTAAGAGACTTGATATTTTACACACAGATAGCTACTTATCTGAGTATGAATAAACCATTAAATTTTTAACTAAATCATTTAGATCAAAATTTATTCAAGTTTTATGAAACCATGTCTGATTTTTTTCAGATGCAACTTTCAAAAAAGACTCAAAGTTGCTGCACTTGATTTTCATCCCCTAAATACTATCATGGGAACTTGAAATTTTTCTCATTATTAGTAAATGTGCCTAGCGTGGACACACAGTTTAAAATTTGATTCTAGGATTTCCCAGAGCAGAGTAATGTGCAAATGACGTAGGCAAAGTGAAATAATTTTTGGCAAAGGATGAGTGCAATACAGGAAATACAAATTGATACAATGTCTTCCAAAGCATATGCAGTAGAACTTGACCTCCTAACATTGATATAATGGGGAACAAGAGGATGGGGAGGCAAAATATTACAAACTAAAGCTGGTTTACCTGGGAATTGGGGTGCAGGGAGTCCAGCTGTGAATCTGTAATTTGGTCATTAATTCATAGGGAGTCAAACCAACCGAAACAAAAATCTTGTAAGCCATTCAGCTACATTTGAGGCGCTGGAGAAAGCCTTATTACAAAATAAATATTCCCCAAATTTTACCAAAAATCTGACATGCTGTTGGAAAAAGTTAAGTCCTTGTTTATATTACACGTCATATATTTAATCTTGCAACCCTTTGCCAAATTTTAAGATTAAGTCAATTTGAAAGTTTACCCTGGAAAATTTTCACTTTCAACCTTTCCATAGTTTTCAAAATAGTGGTGTGACAGTTGCCATGTGGCCATACTGACTGTTCAATGTGCAAGTCAAATTTCAACACAAGTTCAGTTCCTGAAGCAGTAGTTGCAAAGCAGCATGCAATAATTATATGAAAATGGGTAGAAATTGGACACTCAGGGGATATTTTTAATGGGCAGTTTATGTAAACAAACAACTTGTGTCACCTTTTATCATCTGTTCTGTATTCTAAGACGAGGTGGGTGATAACAATTTAGCAAAAAAACCTTGCTATCTTCACGTGTGGTTGGAAACTAAAGTGATTATATATTTGTTTATATTACAATAAAATTCTTCTGCTTAGCTTTGTCTACTAGTTAGACTGCTATTTGCTTCTCTCAATCTGTCTTAATTGAGGTAAATATTTACTTACAGGCAGTATTTCCAATTTGCCATCTTGCCTGGAGCACTGTGCGTCCTTCTGGTGTTCGCACTGCTTCAAGAAGGAGTGTAAAAGCAGCTACTACAGAGGTGAAACAAACTGATAGACAGTCTGTGAAAGGAGATAACACTGTGGTACTTGTAAGTGCTGGGTTTGTAAAAGTAGCATGTGAAATATTGATCTCTGAAATAAATAAATAGTAATAATAAAGTTTCATAAATGGGAAGAGATTTATTTTAAGTCATCAGGTAAAACCTCCTATAGTGACCTTAACACAGTAATAATTTATCCAGTAAATTTCTAATTCATGATGGTACGGTACCCAATGAGATTTAATTTTAAATAAGAAAGAAAAGTTTGAAATGAATTACTTTTTCCTGAATGACATTGTGTAATATAAAATTAGGTAAGAAACAGTGATTATCTTACAAAATTGGTCAATAAGAAAATGCATTATTATTATAAAGGCCTGTATAAGAATTACTTGATACATTATGTATTCTTGAATGCATATCTGTTATTTTCAAAAATAAAGATAGAATAAACATTGGGAAGAGTATGAAAGGATAAAGAGTGATTGATAATAGAAATTAACTATTTTACAGCTTTTAATGCTAACTTCGAAATTCATTTTTTAAAAAAGATAATAGTCTTCGTTGTTAACTTTTTATTGCAGGGAAATCTGGACTTATCAGGTTTGTTAAAGATAAAGACAAGTCCGGAATTGCTAAGCTCCATCTCCAGAGTTCTACCTGAAGTCTCCACTGGTCACACATGCTGGAAGTCTTCCTACCAGTCCGGGCACACATTCTTTGAGAATAAAAACGGTAAGAATGGTACGGTATTAGGTGAACCAGTTATGCATGGTAATGAGAATCATCAGAGGTGGCCAAAGCAGGTTTAACTTGGAATCAAAAATGTGAAACTGTTATTTGGTCACGGAATTTCAGAGAGTCATGCCCAATTGCTGATTATGTTGTATACTGCCTTGTGGGTTGAGAACCTATCAGAATTAAACAATTCGATGAAAACCAGATATAAAATTGTAAATCTGGCCGATCTACCAAGGAAACAGGCTATAACCCAGACTTTGCATTTTGCTTTAAACATATTACTAAATATCTGATGCTTTTAGATGTTTTAAAAATTTTTCAGGTTTTCCTGAGAGTCTGTTACAGAGCCAGTTATGCCCCGGTCAAGAAAAGATACATAGATTGGTACACAGATTGTTACAGCAAGTGAATCATCCACGTGAGTTTTGTTACAATAACTGCACATATTAGACAGGGGTCATTTTCTCAACACTTCTGAATGTTGGTCTAAACTGTGTGACCAAAATGTAGTAATTTAAATCTAATGCAAGTGGTTGAATAAAGATAAAGTTTAAGTCTGAAACAATTGCCAAGTCTTTCTTGTTAAGAAACAAAGCAGAAGTTTTTCCATATTCACTCCTACCTATGTAAACTTACTGTGTCACATTTGGCAAAGATTGAGTTTTCAAGAATTTTTCTAAGTTGAGATATGCTCATTTTTTGGATAGCTGTGACTAAAACTTTTTTCAGACATTACCTCACCACAGAGAGTTGAAGGAAGTATATTTCTAGCAAGTAGACAGCATGCATGTAGAGGTGAGTTGTTGGTACTGGAGGTTTACTTAAAGGCTTCCAAGGAAGTGTTTTCCCTTCAAAACTCATATTTAAATAATTTCCCCAGGGTAAAAGACATCTTCCCTTGACTAACCAATCTTTAATCTTCCTTTTCTGACACTTGCCATAACTTTGTAACAGACTTTACGAAAGGCCAAAAAATCTGTCAGACATTCGGTCTGGCAAGCTTGAAAATTCTGTCAGACCGAAACAAAATCTGTCAGACCAAAGTGAAATAATTGAAATATGACAAATCATTTATGTTTTCAGGTGTATTTTATAACAATTTTAATCATCAGCATTAAATATGTGTGTGTGTAAAAAAAAAGACAAAAATAGACAAAAAGTTATTTGCATAACAAGTTTTTTTTTATCTAATGAAAAAGGTGTTGTAGAATGACACAAGGACTAATACCAATTCAAGTATGAAGAATTTGTAGCCAGTCATATCAAACGTTTGTCAAAAAAAAAAAAAAAAAAAAAAAAAAAAAAACGTCTATTAATCAGATAACCATTTCATCCGTTGTTTTTTTTTGGCAATATAACATACTGGTATGCATTGTGAAACAGCACAGTAAGGCAGTCTCTTTCATCCAATTGAAACTTTGATAGGGACTGCCCAGCCTGAGTCAAAATTCTTTCTTCATTTTTTTTTATAAAAAGAAACACAAAGTGTGAGCCTTCATCAAGTTATGTGCACTTTCTCCAACTTGTAGTCGTGAACGGTACATGTAAAAGTAGACATATATGTTCGATAATTTCAGAACCCGTAATAAAGCAGTAAGATTTATGTTGCTGTTGATCATAATACTCCTGACACTGCACACACCATTTTCGTCTCCTCCAGATTCTAAGTCCGCCAGGAATTTCAGAAAACTTTCGATCAATCTGGCCCTTTTCCACACTTCGTTTTCATTTTTTCCCACGTTGTGCACCAACGAAGTATTTTAAGTTCAACAACATCACATTTCTAAACAAAAGATTTAGCCATGAGTACTGTGCACAACATATAATGAAGAAACATAGGATCAAGTCAGAAAAAACGCAAAAAGCATGAGCACATGTCCTGCGGCCATTTTGTCGCGTAAGGGTATCACGAAAATGAAAACGAGACTGTATCTTACATCATCCAGGAATCCCCCAACCTCAGCCAGTCACAAAATAGCATTTGAGTGGAACTGAGGTAATTAATTATGTATAATTAGCTGGGAATGCCCCCGAAGTTTGATCCCGTTTTTCTTTTTGAAATATATCGTTCAGAAAAGAAACAACAACGTTTTCCCTATATTTACACATTCCCAGTCAGTTTGAAAACTTGCCAAACAGAAGGTCCGACAATACAGGATTTTTTATCGGACTGAGACGAAATTTGCCAGGCATGTCCGATGGTCCAACCCCTTTCGTAAAGTCTCTTGTAACAGACATGCTGAAAACTTTTCAGAAGGACCGGACATTTGGACCGGCAGTAATGAAAATTATGCCAGACCGAATGGATTTTTGTCGTACCCAAAATCCCCCTATTCGTTTGAGACAGATACTACCAGTACGATTAGGTAGCTTACTTTGTTTGTGAATGTGATAGGCTTGAAATGGAAGGGAAAATGCTTTGGGTTTTATGTAATTTCATTAGTGAATATTGTCGAAATTGTGGTTCTTAAAACTCTTGTCGGTCCTTAGGAGCAATCAAAGCCAATTTTCTACCAGTCCAGACAAATTTTCCTGGTCGTGATTGATCAGACTGGCAGTTTCAGCATGTCTTTTGTAACACTTAAAAGGAAAAGCAAAAGATCAGAACCCACACATAGCAGAGGTTTCCAGATATGCCGTTCATTCTACTGACTTGACTTCCAGCTAATATTAGCCATGGCCCACATTATTTTCCAATTGTGTCAAGATGGTTGACTGCCGAGTTGGCAGTGGATGGTGAAAATGACTATATTTTGCAATATTGATTAAGACCAATCGTCTGTCAATATATGTTTAACAAGTTTTAATTGCCATCAGATTAGTTCACAGTCTATTTCCTCTGTTAACCCACCAATATCTAACTTAAAGGGATAATAACTCTTCGTTTTGGCCAAAAAATGAATTTTCCTGGAGTAAACAACAAGTTTCCCACACTTACCAATGGTTAATGAATCCATTTTTACATTCAAAGTTAGTCCCTGGTTTTTTTCTAAAAAGTTTGGTTTTTTGTTAAAATCTCTTAAGAGATTATAACTGAGTACAGCCATCAATGGAGGTCATGTGATCTAAAGACAAGCTCAGATATCAGAATAATAGCTATAACTGCCGTTTTTGTGGTACAACAGAATATATTATATTTCTATGAGTTGTACACAATGTTTTTATTGTGAAATATAGATCTCATACGAAGAGTTATTATCCCTTTAAGTGGAAGTCTATTCACTCTGTTAACCCTCCAATATCTACCCGTAGAAGGCCATTATACCCTATTTCGTCCTTCCCTGATGTGAAATTTGTGACTGTATACTGCAGTAGCACCATGAATGTTATTATTAGTGTGTCTTTTATATTGTATTCCAGGTCTGCAACAAACACGTGGTTTTAAAACTAAACACTCACAAGCCATTGGAGTGATCTCTCCAGAAACTGTTGAGAAAACAGCAAAGAAAACCAGAGAGAGGACAGGAGAAAAAACAAAATCAGATGCAGAAGAAAAAACAAAATCAGATGCTGGAAAGGTTTCATTTGTATTACCGAATTAATGTTACATAAACTGCAATAAATACACAATTGGATTTCGTAATTGTAAAATTATGTTACAATTTTGTTACACTTTTAGATTTAATTTTAATTTTTCTTTCAATTTTGTCAGTTTTTATTGGTTTAAATCTGGCATGATTGAAATAAGATTCCATTTAATTGATTCCTCAGTTTAGTATTTGCTGTTACATGATGGTTTGTATGGAAAGTTATAACATTTTTGAGAAAAGTTTTTTTTTTTTTTGTCTTGTCTTGCTAGAGTCCATGTTAAAATATTTGCATTGAAAGAGTCAGTTATGAGTTATTTTGGCACATCATAGGTATTATTGAGAGGGTTGGTTTCATATAGGAGTTTACATCAAAAATTTTGGATTTTTCAATTTGGAATAAATGTGCAGTAAGCCACAATAATAATATAAATTATTATGATAATAATAAAAGTAGCCAGTGGTCTAAAACATTCATTAAGTCATAAATGCAAGTGCAACATTTTTTAAAGTGGATTATTACTGATTTGTTAAAATGTGTTTTTTTATTCCAGTCTACTAAAAATTTAGCAGATGGTTTTTCAACAAATTTTCTGAAGATTTTCCTGTGGTCTACAGTCTTTGTACTTCTGTTCCTAAGTAAGTTAAATACTGATGATTTTACTATGTAAAGACTGACGTTACTTGCTTCTGTCTAAATATAGGAGCAGGGACATTGACCATTTTTACATACAGAAACAGATGTGTCTTTACATAGAGCCGTCTCCTGTGTCTGTTGTCGACGGTGTCGGCACTGTGCACTTTCAGTGTTATGCAAATAAGATAATAAATGTTTTTACTCATGGTGTTCGAACTTACAGAACTGACAAGTATTGATAAAATACAGGCAGTCCGCCATAAATTTAAAATGTTCGATGTGTAATGTCAGTCACAATGTCCAAAGTAGCATTAGAACTTTATTATTACAATACAATAAATGTAAGACAACAAAATCAGTAAGCAAAATGCACATACAGAAATATATAATATCAAATTTACTATCAGATGACAGAGCATTTAAAATACTAAGCCCTGGCCTAGTTGTAAGCACTTTTAACCACGTGCTCTGTACGCCTGTGGGTAGAATGTAGGTCATGCATTGATACTTTTTAGTCTACTGTTTTGCCCTGAAGTAAGCATTTTCTAGCCTCCTTGCAAAATTCTGGGGCTTACATCTACTAGTACATTTTCTGCACGACTGCTATAGCAAATGCATTTACTGGAACTTACTTTATTGTTTTGAACTCAAATAGAATGCCCACACAGTTCGACAAGTTGCAGAAGAGTGAGGACTGCTGAAAAAAATTTCCTAATATGCTTTGTCTTTTACTCCTCACTACTGTCTTGTTTTGGGTAAGATTTGAAGATTAGCAGATTTCCTTAATGAGGTTGCACTGAAGGTCAAATGTAGGTTAAACACTGAGAGTGCTTGAGCTGATTTTGTTTAGCAGTGGTCTAATAATAAATGTGTAAATACATAATAGTTTATCAATAAATAAATAGCCAGCCCATTTTAGTTATGTTATGTAGTTGCTGTAAGTTATTTCTGGCTAGATTTTATAGTGCAAATATATGTAAATACAGATGTATGTGAAATGTGCTTCTCTCAACTTACAGTGCAGATCACTGCTTATGTCCAAGCTTAAAAGGAACGTGAAATACCTTGAAAAGAAAAAATGCATTTCACAGAAATGGCTTTTTTTTTCACAATCCCCATTGGAGTTGCCTACCTTATATTTGCAGTACATTTATTCTGCACAGTCATGTTATTAATTCTGAGAGATTTTTCAATGCAGTAAATTATTCTGCACAGTACTATTATTAATTTTTGAACATTCTTCCAACAGTACAATTATAACGGACAAAAGTTTATCTACTACCTGCTTTAAACTGCAAACACACTTTTTAAAAACACTGCATGTATATTATTTAACATGCTGAAAAATAAGGCTTATATTTCACAGTGTACCTGATGTAGACATTTTTATGTGCTGCTGTTCTTGTCAGACTTGGTTTTATAATTAAAACATGAAAAACTATATGCTCTTCAAATGTCTGATATAATAAAAAATGTCTGACAAAGATATTTTATGTCAGACATAATGTTAGGCAGGTGCCCAAAGTTTTTTGGGAACACTGATACAGGTCGAGTTCGAAAATCAGCGTGATCAGACCATTTTCCCCAAAAGTTAAGCTGTTTCTTGCTTTTTTCAGCATATTTTAACCACTGTTATGCAAATAAAAGGGAAATTGTGTTACCTATTGCCTCCATACTTATGGAACTGATCAGTTTTCATAAAATACTTGGTAATACATTCTTTTATTATTCAAATAGATAATTAGCCTTTTCATTTTGTCAAGGTAAAACAAAGTTTGACAATTTTTGCATTGGTTTTTCATTTTTTTTTCTTGGATCCACAGTCATAGTTTTAAGAAAAAGAATTTTTTGTTCAGTGTTTTCAGGACCTGGTCAGATTTCTTCTATTATATCAAGAGATAACTACGAGGTTTCCATGGTCAACCCAGATATTGGCTTTAGTGATGTTAAAGGGGTGAGCAACCACTTCAGAGTACTTACTTCCTTTTCTGAATTCTTATAATATTTAATTGCCCGTGAGCCAAAGACAACTGTAGGTTTGAAGAAGGATATGTTAACCACTGTCATGTGCCAATTTATTAGCTTCAGTGTTGGACAGAATTATTGTATATGAAGTAGTTGCTTATTTGATAAATATCGACATTCTTGACATAGTGTGTTTCTAATATAGCAACTGAAAAATTATATATATTTGAATTTTGTAGCAAAATGAGGCACTGGAAGAATTAAAAGATTTAGTGATGTTCTTGCAAGACCCAGAGCGCTTCAATGAAATGGGAGCCAAACTTCCTAAAGGGGTTCTCTTGGTTGGGCCTCCTGGTGTTGGAAAGACTTTAATAGCTAAAGCGATTGCGGGTAAATCGTCCTAGCTGGAAGAAAAAATTAACTTTCGCATGTGCACACATCTTCCTACATGTATATTATGCACCAATATCCTACTTAGATACATTAAATATTGATGTTCAAGTTTCAGTGATATAATTACAGTTTAAATAGGTTTTATGTGGAAATTTGAAGAACTTGCAGTATATACGTGCACCAATCCCTTTTTTCCAAAGCCGCACAGATGATATGTTTTTCTTCTACATTGCAGGTGAAGCTGGTGTTCCATTTTTTCTATGCCTCAGGCTCCCAATTTGATGAAGTGTTTGTTGGTGTCGGAGCAAGTAGAGTGAGGAATATATTCAGTAAGTTTTCTTAACCTACTAGCATATAAATATTGCTCCTCTGAGCTTAAGCATTTAGGTACTCTAGTATGATTTATACGATTTTATATAATATGATATCATCAATATGTTGGTCAGTTTTGTGTATCTGTTGGTGTTTTTTTATCCTTTTGCCACTGAAATCGCCATTTAAAACTTGATTGCAATTCATACTATTCAATTACACACTCTTACATAGATTCAACCAATATAATCAATTTTAACCCAGGCACCTGTCAGTGAGTAATTTTGAATTCTTTCACATATTCCTGTATTATCCTTTCTGAGAAGTTTCTGAAATGCAATTTGGACACGAAATCACCACTGTGACACAGGCCTGAAAAATCCCTTTCTCACTTGATTCAGTTATGGTTGAATGTAGATTATTTGTGACGTATTCTTTAGTCCGATTAACATATAAGGTATCTGTGTTTATTTTCCTTTATTATCTTGTCAGAGAAAGCTAAGAGTAAAGCACCTGCTGTGATATTTATTGATGAAATTGACTCACTGGCTGGTAAAAGAACAGCCAATGCCATGCAGCCCTATGCCAATCAGACTATTAATCAACTCTTGTCAGAGATGGACGGGTAAGTAGTTGTGGTGGGAATTGACCTAGTGTGAGTAGTTGTGGTGTAAGATAAGTGACCTTATGTGAGTAGTTGTGGTGGAAATTGACCTTGTGTGAGTAGTTGTGGTGTAAGATAAGTGACCTTATGTGAGTAGTTGTGGTGGAAATTGACCTTGTGTGAGTAGTTGTGGTGTGAGATAAGTGACCTTATGTGAGTAGTTGTGGTGGAAATTGACCTTGTGTGAGTAGTTGTGGTGTGAGATAAGTGACCTTATGTGAGTAGTTGTGGTGGAAATTGACCTTGTGTGAGTAGTTGTGGTGTGAGATAAGTGACCTTATGTGAGTAGTTGTGGTGGAAATTGACCTTGTGTGAGTAGTTGTGGTGTGAGATAAGTGACCTTATGTGAGTAGTTGTGGTGGAAATTGACCTTGTGTGAGTAGTTGTGGTGTGAGATAAGTGACCTTATGTGAGTAGTTGTGGTGGAAATTGACCTTGTGTGAGTAGTTGTGGTGTGAGATAAGTGACCTTATGTGAGTAGTTGTGGTGGAAATTGACCTTGTGTGAGTAGTTGTGGTGTGAGATAAGTGACCTTATGTGAGTAGTTGTGGTGGAAATTGACCTTGTGTGAGTAGTTGTGGTGTGAGATAAGTGACCTTATGTGAGTAGTTGTGGTGGAAATTGACCTTGTGTGAGTAGTTGTGGTGTGAGATAAGTGACCTTATGTGAGTAGTTGTGGTGGAAATTGACCTTGTGTGAGTATTTGTGGAGTGAAGAATGCGACTTTGTGTGAGTAGTCGTGGGGTGAGATAAGTGACTTTGGGTGAGTAGATGTGATTTGGCAAATGTGATATTTGATTAGCAGTTGTGGTGGTTAGTTATTATGGTTGCCATGTGGCTAATGTGACAATTTGGTGAGTGTAAGGTGTCCTTTTGTGAGGTGCTGCTTTGTGAGGAATGTGACTTGGAACCTCATAATTATTTTGAGCACTTTTGTTGATCTTGGAATTTCATTAAACTTTTTATACTGAATTGGGTGCTTTGTCTCTCAAGGAAAATGGAAACCAAATTATTTATTGTCAAATAGAATTCTGTTGATTGTCTTATTAATATTTTGAGTCAAATTGTTATACACATATTTTTATTATTTCAGGTTTAGTTCCTCAGAAGGAGTGATTGTTTTGGGAGCTACCAATAGGGCTGAGGTATTAGATAGGTGAGTTGCCACCATGTTCATACATAAATATATACTGAACATTAAATATTTTCAACATGTGGCTTATAGAAGTTAATTTTTTATACCACTGATAAGCTTTAACCCTTTTTTTCAAGTGCTGTCCTTCACACTTTTTTTATCTGATTCTGGAAAATCAACCAAATGTCCTCATCAATTTTGCAGCAGTTTTAACATTGGCATTAAATTGCAACTTTGTGCATTTTATAATTATTGGAATCATTACTTTGTTTGTTAACAACCATAATTAATAATTCATTTTCTTGCACTTCTACCTTAATGCTAGGTTTCTTATGGTGCGTTTATATAAGAATAAAAGCAGGAATATATAATTGTCTGTCATCCTTCACAGGCATTTTTCATATGATCTCAATATATGTGTTCTTGGCATACTCATCCTTGATTTCAAAAATTATATTTTCTCCCCCAACCTCTTTTTCCAATTGTTTCAGTGCTGTAAGGAGACCAGGAAGGTTTGATACTCAGGTGGACATAGGTATTCCTGACCTAGAGGGACGAACAGAAATCCTTGAACTTTACATCAAGAAGATCAAGTGTGCACCTGGTAAGAAACTGAAGGGATAACATAGCAGGACAGAAGTGCATCATGGGAAGTCTGACCATGTCGTCTGCCACATAGGTCAGAGGTCAGAGACAATTGCCTGGTGAACTTAGCGACAAATTTGCCTACAAACTAATAATTAACTAATTTAAAATTTAAAATAGGCAATATATTGGAATAGAACAATATTTAAGAAACCCCCCCCCCCCCCAAGGGTCAAACCAGTTTCACAGGGAAAAATACTGTTGAATTCATTGTACATAATTCTGTTTGCAGACACAGATATTGGTAGGCTAGCCAAGCTGACGACTGGAATGACAGGTAAGTCTGGAGATAAAAAAGATGTTAAGTTTTATACGTTATTAATGCTATTTAGTTAATATACTGATCATTTAATGGAGTTTATGAAGTTAGTTGGCATGCCACCAATACTAAAGAAAAGGAATGCCGTGAAAACTTATTTTCCATTTTCTTCTTCCTCTCACACAAAGTGGTGCTTTCCATCTAACATTTTTTCAATGAATTTTATCTTCAAGAGACATGATAGCTTAACGATCCATCTGACTTTGAAACTATTACTTAGATATGATCAATATCATTATAAAAATGAAAATTGGAGAGGAGTTGGTACATTTGGCAGCATTGTCTAATTTTTTTTTAGGTGCTGACTTGGCCAACTTCGTCAACCAGGCTGCCCTCAGAGCAGCAGTAGATGGCGCCACTGAAGTAGATGCGTCTCACTTTGATACAGCACTGGACAGAATCAGAATGGGTGAGATAATAAAAGATATGATACATAACTCCCAAACCTGTGATCTGCCACACTTTGACGTCCTTTTGTGAGTTAAGGGTCAGTGATCGAGTTGTTTGGTCAGAACATCAGCATCAGAAATACTAATTACTACAGCCACTGAAACTTAAAATAGATTTCAAGCTGTCCACCTCATCGCAAGTTTTAGCAATGAAAAACTCTTGGATGTTCATGTGATTTATTGAAAAAAAATTATTTGGTTATCAAGTTCTGAATATCTAATTCAGTACAATCGTTCTTCAGGCTTGGCACTGGCGAACAGAGTCAAACTCCTTTCTCACGAGGAAAAATTGCTGACGGCTCACCATGAAGCTGGGCATGCGCTGGTGGGGTTCTTTAGCAAGAGCATTGAAAAGGTCCACAAATTGACCATACTGCCTCGGTCATCTGGTTCTCTTGGACATGTGAGTATAATTATAGTAATACATGATGGATTGGGGTAATTTTTTACAATTATTTCTCAAGAACATGACAGAAAATGCTACTAATCTTGCCCTTTATTTGAATACCGTTTTACACCGAGAACTTAATCATCTATACTTTTGGACTGTTTTACGCTAAAACCTTAATCACTTTTGCCTTCAGACTTCATTTTACACAGAGAAAGATGTGACCAGCCTTAACAGAGAACAGCTACTGGGCAGACTAGACACACTGCTGGGGGGAAGGGCAGCCGAGGAGTTATTGGTTGGATCTGGCAAAGTCACCACAGGTGCTTCATCGGACTGTGACCAGGCCAGTCTCCTTGCCAAGTCCATGGTTTCCAGATGGGCCATGTCAGAGAAGGTCAGTCCACTCAATGAATTTACTATGGTATGCAACAACAGTGAATTGAGTGTGTGTACATGCTTGCATGTATGTATGTTTGGATTTATGTACATGTACATAAGTAAGATTTAAATGCATCTGTAAAGATCAACTGAGATAACTATTACTCACACATTAGGATTTTCCTGTGCAGAGAATAGTGCTATATGGTAGCCTGCTCATTAACTATTGGTAAGTATGGGTAAATCGTTGTTTACCCTATAGGAAAATATTAAAAGATACTGTGGCAAATATATCTTAAAAGATGTATTTAAATCTCACTTATTTTTTATACAAGACCTATATGATGATATATGAAGAATCTTCTATGTATGTACAGTTCATGGTACACCTGTCTTTGTTGATAGGTTGCTATTTTGGTTGGGAGTTAGAATGTACATGATATATGTACATGTAGATTTGTGTGTGTATTATGTGTGGTGCACCTGCAACTTTACAAATGCACTGGGTGTAGGGCTAAAAAATTGCCAGGGAAAGCTGTGATTGTGTTTGAGAATGGCTGCCAAACATGCCAGAGACAGCGCATGCGCTGTCTCTCTCTCTTATATTTAAGGAAATATTTTCTGACTTTCCTCACAGGTGGGTCTGCGCACGCTTAATGAGAATGATGCTCGCACTCTCAGCGAAGAACACAGGAAAGAGATGGATGAGGAAATCAAGAGGATGCTGCAGGTAATGTGATAATATGAAAGTAGCTTTCAAAGTTATAAAAAATGGGGAAAATGTTTTTTATGAATGAGACACAATTTTTCAAGCCTTTATCACAATGCCTTGTTCAAAAGTTGATACGTGGAAATGCCATACCTTATAGATGAGAAATAATTTTTTTAAAATTAATTTTCATAACTTTACAACATTCACTGAAAAAAATTTTTTCACCATGGAATAGGGTTGCATCTGTTTGTGTAACTGAGGGGAAATATGTGCTTACATTTATTGTTCCAAAATCTGAAGTGATTTGAGGTGTGGGCAAGCAGCCACCTATATGGCAGCATTCAGAACAGATGATCTGGGTACTAACTGATCCCCAGACTACATATGGCTGCATTCAGAACAGATGATCTGGGTACTAACTGATCCCCAGACTACATATGGCAGCATTCAGAACAGATGATCTGGGTACTAACTGATCCCCAGACTACATATGGCTAACCCAACATAAAAGCAATGCCACCTAATCCTTAAATGGCCCCCAGTCTCCACGTGAATTAAATCTCGGCTTGGAGGTTTAATTCCAAGGCCCCTGCAGGAAAGGCGCGTGCAGAGGCAGGGAGACCACTTAGGGATTATTCGGCATTGCTTTTTAGTCTGGTTGACCATATTTAGTCCCCGGATCATCTGTTGTGAATGTGATCAATGTCAAGGGGATTGGACTAAAGTAAAATGACCTCTGTCGGAACTTTGAGATCACGTATGAATGCACATGCACACATAAACACACACGTACTACAGAGACACAGAAGTTGGTACATACCTTGATGCAGCCCATACTTCTTAAGAATGTGATTCATTTGGATTAAAAAAAAAAGGAGATTGCATATATTTTTAAAGAGAAAAATGTTCTTTTAATTTTATTTTTAGGAATCCTATGAGCGAGCCAAGAAAACACTGTCTGTACACTATAAAAAACAGAAAGCTCTAGCAGACGCTCTCTTAGAGCATGAAACGTTAACTTACGAGGAGATGGTTCAAGTCATAAATGGCAAAAAAATTCAACGCGTACCCAAAAGCACCAACTCCTCTTTCCTGCCTAAGTTGCTGTAGGTGTGTCAGCCCATTTAACCCTGAGATCAGAACGTACAGCTGTGGAGATGAACACTCTTGGTGGACTTATTTCTTCAAAACTATTTCCCCCACTTTCAAGAATTGTTTAAAAGGAATATTTTGAACAAAAATTGGAGAATCAGTGACAGCATGAGCAAAGTTTATCAGTATTTCATGATCTGTAACAGTAAGGTGAGATAAATTGGACCTGTGTGTGCATAGCATAGGTGCTGTTATTGAAAAAAAAATCTCAGGATAAATTCAGAAACTTTGATCTACTGTCTTCAGTTGATAGATAGTTGGACAAATTACTAATAATAACCAGCAGATATTTTAAAAGATGTACATAAAAAAGAGGGCAGCTTGCTGTTATTGCTTAACATCTGACCTTTGATCTCCAACCTTAAAATTTGGTAATGGATGAATGTCTAACAGAGGCATCATTTTAAGTTTGTGAAAGCTCCTACTTTTCATTACATGACATTACCAAACTGATAATATATGTAGGGTTGGGATTGTGGATATGTATACTTAAATGTATTAATAAGATTTATTTCATTCTTGAATGAGTGGTATTTTCAAGATAATGCCTGATTTCAGGATTTTTGTTCTACATGTTGACAATTTTTTTTTCCATTTGGTCTTAATGCGATAGTAAATGTGCTGCTACATTTCCAGGATTTTCAATGTTTTCCTACATTCACCAAAGTTCTATGATCAGAAATAGGGTTTCACATTTTTTACTGTTATCAATTTATTTGTTCAATATATTGAAGAAGAGATAACTTAAAATAATTTTTAGTGAGTATTATAAATAATTATATTCCTTGCGCAATATAATGCGTATGCCTGTATCCATCATGGGTGTACAAATGATGGGTCCAAGGCCTGTAGTTTTAGAGCTAATTGCACTGTACATAGTAATAATAATGTTTGCTGTTTTTTATATTCAAAGTGATTACAGAAATAAACAGCAGCTGTTAATATATTGGTCTGGTGGTATCAACCTGCATCTATCTACATGTTAAGTGACACCTCTATATGAAACGACAATTTAAAACTTGACTCTAAGAGCAGATCGTTCTGGACTAGTTTGCTTGAAAGCATCGCTTGCTACATGTACGGGGCCATCAATTGTCTTGTATGCGTCTGTCCAAGTGTTAAAATCATGGCTTAATGGCAGAGAAAATGAAGTTAGCGGATCCAAAAGTATACGCAATTACTTTGGGACATTTGGGGATTATAACACTTCAGTAATCGGAATCCTTAGGCCGGCCGAGTTAGCGGTTAACGGTAACGGAGAGATTGCCAACAGACAGGGTCAGTTCGACCTTGAACCACCCCAGCTAACACAGAGCATTTGGATAACATTACCATTAAATAGAATTAAATAGAGATAGAATTAAATATTAGTTATACCAAAGAGCGAATGAATGGGAAGTAGACTCTATCACGGGCAGGGGCGGATTTAGGGCGT